AGCATCCGACACAAAATGTGGACTAAATCCGGTATTGAGTGTAAGTTTATAATTTATATCTTAAATAATTCTGTGTAGCTGAGGGACAATATGCCTTCTCATGTGAGTTACTTAAGACTCTCAGATTTATCTATGAAGTTTAAGTGAGTGATCATCATCCTTGGAGAAAGACAATAGATAACATTTTAAAATCATTCCTGTCCGACTTCAGACATTTAAATCGCCCTAAAGAAGCAGAGGTACATATTTATTAATAAATATCTTATATAGATCCTATTTGGCTTACTCAGAGGCTGTGACTTCAATGGCCTAGCACCATTTATGTCAGCAGTGAATTCTAACAAGGACAAGATTTAGATTATAGGCTTTGTGCAGAAAGGTTGGTTAACTAGAAACCCAAGTGACCCACCTGAAGCTCAGAAGGTGTATGAGGACTTCTCACAGAAAGACTTAAAGGTGCTTGGTGTACTATATAATGACAAGCATAAGGAGAAGTGCGAGTATTAACTTTACAATCCAAGTGACATCAGACTAGTTAGTGATAATGCTCCCACTCACTAGAACTAATAACTGTCTAAGAATCAATTCTAAATATCATCTGCCATTCTAGATAGACTATTTGAAGATAGTGATCTGTTGTCATCAATTGATGAGGATGATATCGGACAGAAGTAATTAGATATATTCCAATTAAACACCAGAACTATGATTATGAAAATGATAAATCATCAACTCTAAAGCAATTCATAAAATTTCCTCAATCAATTAAAAGGTTCAAACTTCTATCAAGCTCTACTTAAGTTTGTATGTAGAGAATCGTCGATTGAAATGAAAGGAGATATTATGCTTCTAGAATGGTTAGAGTAAAGATGCTTTGCCATAAGGAAATACGCTTGTGAAAATCAGCAATCTTTAGTCAAGCAGAGAGAAGTTCACATCACTCTAGTCAAGGATAAGCTATATGTATCTTTCTAGCACCCAGTTCTCAAAGGCTAGAAGCAACTCAATGCCATTCCACTATTGAGTGCTGTAAACTATAAGAATTTCGAAGAGAAAAAGGAAGTTAAACTTATACATTCTTAGGATGTGTTCATTTCTCAAGGAGATCAAATCAATAAAGCTGAGTAACAAATCGTGCTAATAGATCCAGAATCACTTGCAAGAAATAATGGTTTAGACATTATCAATGCTGGAATTGGAGCAATTACTTATGGTGTTGATTTGAATAAGACCATAAAGAACATCTTTATCAAGTAAAGAGAGAACAGAGACAAGTATATTGAGCTTGCTTAAAAGACTATATTCCTTGTAACTGAAGAAGAATTTAGGAAGATTCTAACAATCACCAAAAGCAACACATTCAAAAGAGCAACTACAATGAAGCAGCAACCTTAATAGGAGTAAGTAGATGAGGACAATTTCGATAACGTATTCGTTCAGGAACTTATCAATTATGGCGGCATCAATCCTAAGGTAGCCAAGAAAACTCTGGAAAAGGACACCATAGAAGGCAAAACAGAAACATTAGTCCAAATATAAAAGTAAATTAAAGAGGGCTTGTTTGAATTGGATGATGGTCAAGATCAACCAGAAGATAAAGAGAAGGTTAAAGAAGAAGATTAGGAAAACAAGGACTTAGCTAATCAACAGTCAAACACGCCTTCAGAGGAAAGATCTGAGGCTTTAGTCTACTTGAAAAACAGTTTCCACCATTACATGGAGAGAACCCACCCAGATGCTCATGAAAAGTCTTCTAAGGATGCATTATTTGATACCATCAATAGTTTCTCTAAAAAGGACTTAGCTGCAGACTATGAGAAGTCTATGATTAGACTATTCAACATGTATTGTAGACATGTCTTCTGGAGCTTGATTCAGAAAGATGATATTCACAATTTGTTCTCAATGGTGTTAGAAACAGAGACTGAGATGAAATCCTTCAGTGTATTCCTAAAGGTACTTGGGAATGAATGCTTTATCACTGGAAACAAAGTATACATCAAGAGTTTCAAGATTTTCCTAAAGAAAGTTGTACACATTTGCTGTAAGGTGGCTAAATTTAGACCACTACTTGAGATCCTAGTATAAGAAGGAATCATTAATGCTTATCAAGTTCATATGGAAGAACTTAAGACAGACTAGACTGGATATTCCAACAAAAGAATTGAGGAATACTTTAAGACTGAAACTAAGGCATCACAACTCATGAATCCATTTATTGTAGTACCACTCTTAAAACATATACTACATGAAAATGCAGATATACTGCTAGGCAACATAGATCGTTTAGTTAGTACCCTAGTCAGTCTCAACTGCTTATTTATTGGAAACTACACCTTGAAAGAGTAGATTTGGGTTCTAGTCATTTCAATTCTCGAAAAAGTAAGATAGAACATTGATAAGATTCCTCAAGAAAAAGTAAAGAAGCTACTCTAGCTAAAAGTTATTGAGTATATCTTTAGCAATTTCTAAGAAGTAAAGGACATTGATAGAGAGGAAGTTGAGTATGTTAAGAGATAGCTAAGAGAGAATACTTCTGGTGATATCGACGGAATATCTCGAAGAGATGCTGAAAAGTTAGTTTACGCTAGAAGAGCAATATGCTTATCAGGCTACAAAAAATATCATAACAGGGAATCAGCTTAAATTTTGATAGAGATGATGTACAAATTTTATCTGATTGATAGGAAACTCGAAGAATCCTAGTTCCTATACAAAAATAAGTAAGGAAATCGATCTAATAGAATTTACTTATAGTTTGATGACAAGCATGGATCTTTATTCACAAATAATCAGCGAAGGAAGAGATGGGAAGCTTAATGAGCATATTCTTTTTTATAATAATCTAGAGGAAAGCAAGAGGATTATAACTCATTGCATTGATACTAGCCATAAGTATTATCTTATAAATTAAAAATTTTCCTAGGGAATATGAGGGTGGCTTTAGAATGAAACTGCATTATAAAGGAGCTAAGAAAGTTCTCGTTAGAGTGAATGACAAAAGCCTGCTTCGACCTGGTGCAGCCATTTTGGTTAGCTCAGATTTGCAGGGCTAAAATGTCTAAAGTCTATTTTATGATTGCTAGATTAAAAGAGAAATAGCTATGAAGAACGTTTATGCTGATACATTTTACATTCACTATCCAGTTTACCCTTACGCCATTTATAGCTTTAGAGTCGAAGAGGAAAATCCCTCTCCAGTGTTAATTGACTAACCATTATATAAACCAATAGAGAGATATGAAGAGCATAACTCAACTAAATATGTAACCATTGTTTATTAACTAATTATATAGTTTTTGACTCAAGACAACTAGATGTATATTCACAGAAATGAAGAACTAAGACTATATAAAGATCATTTAGATGTTTAACAGTATACATTTGGAAAACTTTGTAGAGTAATTTTACTAAAGAATGGAAAAGTTATAGCGGAGGGCAGAAATAAATCTAGACATTTCATGGATAATGCAGAAGAGATTGTAAATTATTCAGCTTTTAATAATATCTTATAGAGTGATGTAAAATAAGCTGAAATTCCTTTCTATGAGAAAAAAGATAAAATAGTCTAAATTTCTACGTTCTTCTAAGTAACTATTGCTGTTACTGAAAAAGGAAAAGTATTTGCCTGTGGTGATAAGCTTGCTAAGATTGCTGGTAAATTATAATAAATTATCTAAAATGATATAACAGGCATTGATAACACTAAATTTGGATTTTATGAAGTACCTTTGTTCAGTGAAGAGGGAGAGAAAGAGGTTAGAGAGGATGCTCTAGAGATCCAAAAAGTTAATTCTAATATAGAGCCTCCCAAAGAAGAGATAAGCTAAGAACAACCACCTAAAGAATCTCACAAAGAGGAGGCAAAGTATGATCATGCAGAGGATGCTGTTTAAGATTCCTAAATTCCACCACCCGCTGATGAGGATAAGAGTCTAGAAAAGAAAGAAGAGCCAAAAGTTGATGCCAAAGAGCAAGAATCAATTGAGGATAAATCTAAATCAGAATAAATTCAGAAAGGTGTTAAGCAGCATGATGGTGTGAGTAAGTATCAAGTTATTGAAGGAGTATTATACGAAGGAGAGCTACCTCAACCTAATGCCTTAGAAGTCTAATCTGATGTAGTTGTTCAGCAAGTTGTCATTTAAAGTTAAGTATAAGTTAGTGAAGAAGAAAAAGTAGAGAAAAACGAAGTATAAAACCAGATTTAAGAAGAAGTAGCTCAGCCAGCTGAATAAGAAGTAAAACTGGAAGAAATTCAACTATAAGAGAAGCAAGAAGATGAAAAAGTTGCAGTTGAAGAACAGAAATAAGAAGCCGAGGTTAAGTAAGAGTCAGATATAGAGGTAAAATAAGAGTCAAATGAAGAGTTAAAATAAGAGTCTGATGAATAAAAGGCTTAAATAGAAGAAGAAAAAATTGCTGAATCTGATGTACCAAAGGAAAGTGTTGAAGGTTAAGAAGATCAAAAAGAAGAGTAAAAAGCAGTAGAGGAGGAAAAAGATAGTAAGCCAGAATTGAAAGCAATCAAAGTATGGGCCTGCAAGACAAGCTCAACATCTGATTTTGTTTATATCGCTTTGGTGGAAAATCTTAAGACCAAGAAAACTGAACTTAGATCTATTGGATAATCTGCTAATGGCCAGCTTGGCTAAGGTAAAGATATCAAAGTATCTTAAGTATTCAAGAAGATCAATGCCAAAAATCTTGAATTGAGATCACCAAATGACCTTTACATTGGATACGATCATGTAATTGTGATTTCAAAGTAAGAAAAAGTTTATGGATGGGGATCATATCTTCAAGATGAAACTCAAAACTACTCGCCTGTTCACATTCCATTCTTTGACAACTATATCATCCACAAATTATCTTCAGGCTAAAAATCAACTACAGCTATTGTTTCACCTAGAGATGATCCAAACAAAAAGCTAGTTGTTGCTGGAAAATTCGCTCCACTTCATAAGACAGATTAATTTAAGATTTACGACATGTTCTCAAACTAAAACATCACTTATGTACAGACCTTTAGTGACAGAATATTTATCTAGGTCCAGGGTACTTACTAATACAACTAACAAGTTTTGAATCCCTATTTACATCAATAAAGATGTGAATCTTGCAGTCTCTAAATTAGTGGCTTATTACATTTCTCAAAAGATTCTGAAAACAAGTTTAATTATTTCTGCTCACAATGTGTTGAGCAGGAGAAGCATTCTGATAAAGTAACAACAGATCACATGTGGGTTATCAAAAGACCAATAAGCAATCTTGAGGAGAAAAAATGGCCAGAAATTAATTCAGAGTAACTATATGATCCAGAAGTTAGAGAACAGTAAATAAGATACTTAACTAACTATAAAATAAACGGAAAAGATATTGAGTAAAAACTATCCTTAGCAGACTTAGCTAACAACTCAGATTATGATATTAATCCAGTAATTGCTCTGAGAGTCTCAAAAGCATTAAAAGAAGGTGCGAAATTAGAGCAATTGAATTTGCCAGATTTTTATGAGTAACTTGGAAATTATGGCATCAGTTTAAACATTACTCCTGATTATGGGCTTGGAGATGAATCTGAAGAATTAAAAACCAAGAATCATCAAGTATACGATGAAACAAATCAGTTCTTAAGAGAAATAGAATCACTTGATCCTGAACTACAAAAAGAGTTCAAACAGAAAATAGAAGAATATGTGTCTAAGAAGCTCAAGGATACAAATATCCAGGATATTAAGTACACTGATTTGAAGGTAGCAGATGAGCTTAAATTCTCTACTGATAAGCTTAATGAGTTATCAGAGCAAGTAAAGAAACTTAATGTTGGAAAATTCATCTAATACTGCTAATATGTCTGGGGATCTTTCAGCTATATTACTAGATCTCAGAAGGCTAATTAGGATCTATCACTTTTACACACATTTAATGAGAATAAAGCTAAGATTCCTTTAATGTTAAAGAATCTGCTTATTAGAAAATTGCTTGAAAACATGAGTGTCGATGAAGAGAAAAAAGGTATTTCAATTCATGTCAATAGAAAGAGAGCCAAGGAATTCTTCGATACAGGAAAAGTTGATGAAAAAGGAGAACACTCAGTATTCTCACAAGTCTAAAAAGGATTAGTCTCTAAAAAGTATCAAGGAATGCGAATCAATCAGGCTGATAAAAAGGCTTGGTTCGTTAAATTTATTGGAGAATTCGCACTTGATCAAGGTGGTTTATTCAGAGAAAGTTTGACTGAATTATGCCAAGAACTTTAAAGCCATGTCCTTAACTTGCTTATACCAACTTAAAATCAAAAGAATAATCATGGAGAGAATAGAGATAAATGGACAGTAAATCCTGCAGCTACAACACCAACAGCAATGCAGATGTACGAATTCTTAGGTGCCTTATTCGGAATGAGTTTAAGATCAGGAATTTTAATGAGTTTGAACATTCCATCCTTTGTTTGGAAACAACTTACTGGTGAGCAGTTGTTATTAAAAGATTTGAATGGAATTGACTCAATGACTGTTTAAGTGCTGGAAAACTTAAGAACTATTCAAAACACTATGGACGAATAGACTTTCCTTGACGGGTACGAACTATTCTTTACTACTATTCTCTCAAATGGAGAAGAAGTAGAATTAGTTCACGGAGGTAGATAGATCAGAGTAAATTTCAGTAACATTCAAGACTACATCTAAAGAACAGTTGATGTAAGATTAAACGAGTGCAAAAAGTAGATAAAGTCAATAAAGAAGGGTATTAATCATACTTTCGACTCAAATATCTTGAGACTTCTAAGTTGGTAAGATTTAGAGTACAAGGTTGTTGGCAAAGAAGTTCTTGATATTGAAAGACTCAAGGAAATTACTGTTTACAGAGTAAATTATTGTCAGTTAAATGATTTATTTATAGAACTGTACTGAAACATCTGACACAGTGAAGAAATTCTGGAAGATTATAAACGGATTTTCAAATGAGGAGAGAATGCTCTATCTCAAATTTGTATGGGGTAGAACCAGACTACCATTGAAAGAAGAAGAGATAACTGAGAACCACACTCTTTAAGTGTAAGAAATAAATTGCTTAATACATTTTATTTAGTGATGAGAATGCTAATCCAGATAAACTTCCAGTTGGAAGAACTTGCTTCTTCAGACTTGAAATTCCTTCTTATAAGAATGAAGATACCTTCAGAGATAAACTTTTGTATGCTATAAGATTCTGTACTGCTATTGATGCTGATATCGAGAATGCAGTCTAACAGGAAGAGCATCAACATGAGGAGAGAGTTGACGAAGAAGGTTCTGACAACAATAATGAAGAAGAAAATGAATAAGAAAACGAGATGGAGATGTTTGGGGATGACTATTGAGGAATTAAAGGTAATTATTACCTATTCAAATCAATTCGATCTCAAGCAAATTAATTCATTCTTGAGAATTGAATTAAATTTCAAAACAAATTCAGTGATATAATCTTGATTTCATAATTTCAAAATCATTAGGGGTTTTGGGGTTTTGGGGTTTTGGGG